CCCCCCCAACTTGGAGGCATGTTTTTCAGGGCCAAAAAGTCATATTGTATGCCGGCAAATACGGTACTCCAATGCGAGCACTGTAACTTGATGAACCTATTGGGTGGCAGGAGAAAGGTGTGCTGCTAGGCTTAGCAGCTTTTCACTTACAATCTAAGGCAGGTGTAGGCAAAGGCAGTGGGGGCTGCAGGGCATTCTTGAGATCTGCACTCACAATTAGTACCTACCGGGGAGGGATGTAGGCAGAGAGGTTACTTTGTTTTTGTTTTCTAATGTTGCGTTATGCACTACAAAGAATGCTATAATAATGCACATTTGTTAGCCGAAAATAGGTCTAGCTATAAAAGCTGTTGTTTTTCTTTTAAACTGAAAATCTACCTTGTGTCCACTAGTGGTCAAAAAAATTATTCAAAAAATAGCGGGCTCAGGAGTTCCTCAAAACATGGCAGAAATACAGTCTAGAAAGCCTAAGGAATCCTTCCCTGACTTTGGCCCTCTCTTGCCATATGAAGGAATGCTACTTCTTCAGTCCAAACTATATTGCACCCAGTCACTTCCAACATTTAGGCCACAAAGTAATGTTTTGGGCAAGTGCCACAGGAAAGCTAAGCATTCGGGGACTGGACCCATTTTAGCAACAGAAATATAAAATAACCTGGAAATTCATGAACTGTTCACACATTGCTCTTTTTCAATTACTAGAATATGTCTCTGGTTTTTAATGGACGTTTTTCTCTTTACACCGTGTTACAATTACAACCTTATATCAGGAGAAATTCACGAACTGCTCACACACTGCTCTTTTTCAATTACTAGAATATGTCTCTGGTTTTTAATGGACGTTTTTCTCTTTACACCGTGTTACAATTACAACCTTATATCAGGAGAAAGGACACATTGATGTCTCCAGAAAAGCTAGGGTATCTGCAGTCTATTTCTTTAACAACAACAACCAAACCTCAGCTATACCTTGCTATTATAAACATGGGAGTTTCGTCGTCATATCCCTGGGGATATGAAACACCCCAGAACCATCCTGGTCCACTAACTGGGTTTTGTGTGGCATGCAAGTCCATCATCAGTAACACTGTGCCAATCGCAGTAGTAGCCCAGCTGGCGCTGCCCCACTTCCCTTCACTGCTAAACACTTTGGCAAAGAGGCAGGATGAAAAGTCTTCCCACTTAGCTGCTGAGTGGGCAACGGTGCAGGGAGGAGGGAAAGTGTTGGCTGGGCTACTTATGTGACTGGCACAATGTTACCGATGATGGATGCATGCGCCACATGAAGCCTGGTGAGTGGACTGGGCTGGTTCTGGAAGAAGGGTCCAAAGGGCCAGGTCACCTGTGGTGGCGGTTCTGTATTCGTCTCCCCTGGGAGGTGAATATGAACATCCCATCTCTACTTGTGCATTTAAGCACTGGACGAATAACTAAACTCTCTAATATTCCAATACCTACGTTTAGGGAGATTTACAGTTTTCCATCTTACAACATCACATAACCTGCTTATTGTTTCTCCCCAAGCTTGGAATTAAAGCATTAATTTTAAATTCATTAATTGTTGATCAAAATACTTTTTCAGTGCTGCTAATAAAAACAATGATTGCACACCCTGCCCCTGAAACTGGAAGCACCCAAACACCTCTAAGGAAAGGCTAGCTCTAATAGACGTGGTACCCATTTGTACCCCAAGTCTTTCTCAGAAAATGTAGCTAACATAGGCAATGGTCAGGCCTTTTTGTAGACAGAGTAGAACACGTAGGACCTAACACTTGGGAGCCACTGCTCTGTACAAAGTCAGTAGTTCTTGTCCACTTTCACACACATATCTTTACCACAGAAGTTATTGCAGAAAGTCATAAATAAACTAATTTCCACCTTCCAAATAATCATATTCAAGAAGCTGGTTTTGCTTCAAACGCAATGTTTAAATAAGTATTTTTCAAATTAAATTAGCCTGGTGAAACTGGACACCACTACAGTGGTGCCTTGACTTACAAACTTAATGCGTATTGGAATGGTGTCCTTAAGTCAAAACGTTATTAAGTCAAGCAGCATTTCCCATTGAAATGCACTGATACCCGATTAATCTGTTCTGGCTGTTTTTTGTTCTTATGTCAAGGCACGGTTTGTAAGTCAAAGCATTCGTTCCCATAAGATCTAATGCAAAACTGGTTAATCCGTCCTCTACCACTAGGGGGAGATTTTTTCTTTTTTCTTTTTAACCTAAGATGACTTAGGTTAAAAAAATGGCAGGAAAGGAGGGAGACAGAGAGAGAGAAGACAATGAGGGAGGGAAAGAGTCTCGAGTCTAAAACATATGCTAAACTGACACATTTTAAACTCACACATTTTACACCAACACATTTTAAACCAAGCCAGCACAGACCCTTGCAAAAACTTTCCTGATTTGCAAGGGAAGCATGCAGGAACCATTGCAAAAACACAGATCACAAACGGAGATTAGATTAGAAATGCAAAGAGAACAAAGCAAAAAAGCAAGGGAAGCATGCATGAACCACTGCAAAAATAAACAAAATAAATCAGAAATGCAAAGAGAACAAAGCAAAAAAGCAAGGGAAGTGAGTTCAGTATTTGCAAATATTATTTGTATTGCTTGGTTTATAGCCAGTTTAGAAGGAAGTGTCAGATTGAGGAAGATTTAAGAGCTCTGTAAATCTCCCAGTTACTCAAAGTTACTTTTTGTGCAACCCAAGGTCTACCTGTGTTTCCCTATCTCCATTATACTATGTGGTAAAGCCTTCTTAATAAACTTTTGTGATTAAAAACCAGTTTTTGCTATAAGGAAAGCTGTAATCTGATGGTACTCTCATTGTCAATGCACCTTAAATGCTCTGTTCAAAATCATTATAAAAACAGGAGCTCAGTCAAACTCCTGATCAGGACTACAGCCCAACTCAAGCACAAAGAAAGGCAATAAATGATGTTAACAGGCCAGTTTCAGCACACTTCATCTGAGGAGCTTAGCTCATCTCCCAAGTAGAAATTTCCATCCCGCTCTTTGAAAAGACAATCTTTGTCTCATGAAGGAAGAACCTACAGTGGTGCCTCGCAAGATGATTTTAATTCGTTCCGCGAAAATCGTCGTCTTGTGAAAAAATCATCTTGCGAGGTTCCCTATGCATAGGTATCAAAAAAAGTCTTGCGAAGCACGGTCATAGAAAAAAAGTCTTGCAAGGCACCATAGTGATCGCAAGAACCAATCGTCTTGCGGGTTTTTCATCCCGCGAGGCAATCATCTAGCGAGGCATCACTGTACTAGGTTTTCTCCACAGCAAAATCAACATTACAGTTCAACATAGGTAAACCCTATTCTGTGATATCCTGCTCCCCGGATGGGTTGAGCTATTCCTTCCATCACTCACAGCCAGTACAAGAATGAAATCTGCAGAGTATTAGGTAGAAGAAGGCATGTATATACAGTGGTGCCCCGCATAGCGACAATAATCCATTCCGGAAAAATCGTCGCTATCTGGATTCGTTGCTATGCGGGGGGAAAAGCCCATAGGAATGCATTAAACCCCGTTTAATGCGTTCCTATGGGCTTAAAACTCCCCTTTAAGTGAAAATCCTTCATACGGCTGCCATTTTCGCTGCCCGGTATGCGAGGAATCGGCACAAAAACACAGCGGGTGGCCTTTTTTTCCCGGCGGCCATTTTGGAACCGCCAATCAGCTGTTTTTAAAACATCGCTATGCGAAAATCAGTAAGCGAAACAGCTTACCCATCATCGCAAAGTGATTTTTTACCATTAAAAACATTGCAATGAGATCGCTTTTGCGATCGCAAAAAATCCGTCGCTATGCGGATTCGTCGTTAACCGAGGCGCTCGTTAAGCGAGGTACCACTGTACTACCAATTTTTCAGTTGGCAAAGCTATCTGATTAAAGTGTTTTTTCTATGCAACTTTTGTATTATACAAAACGTACAGGGTCAAATTCCTAGCCATACCCGAATAAGACTATATACCATACAATTGCTTGGGTTTTAACACTTACTTGATTCTAAGAGGCGCTCTAGCTCTTCAGGTGCTATGAACTTCTCCCAGTCATGGGTGCCTGCTGGAACAATGCCCAGTACACTCTCAGCAACCACAATGCCAAAAATATAGGACAGCTGTGACTTGTTGATTGTAGTGACAAACAGAGAACCTTCAGGCTAATAAACAGAATACAAGTCAGTTGGTCTGCAAATCAGTAATGTATATATATACATTATATCTCAGGGAGCACCTTTTATGGAAAAAAGTTAACATTAAAGTGACTGCCATTTGATTAAAAAAATCTTACTAGTACATGTGTACCTTGATTAAATAAATTTGCATACATGTTGTATATGAATAAAATTATATCAGATGAAGCAACAAACATCATCTTAAGAATAACAAGAGTGACTGTGTATATGTGAGAGACAAAGGGAGATAATAGGGAAAATGCTTCTCCCCAGACAAATTTTATAATCCAGGTTTTGTAATAAAATTATAATAAAATTACAAAAAAGTCTGTTGCCCATTTTATTTGAATAAGAGATGCTCAGGTTTTAACTCTATACACACTTTCCGGGAAATAAATCTCACTAAGTTCAGTGATACTTCTCAACAGACATGCATATGATTCAACAGCCAATTAAATATACTAAACAACTACAGCAGCACCACACTAGTTAGCATTTATTCACGTGAGTCAGTTCAAAAGCAAACCACTATTGAACCACATTTCAGTAAGGGCTCTTTCTTAGTACAATGTTAAACCAATTTAACAAGCACAGGTTATCCAAGAGAGGTTATGAAGCTGCTGAGAATTTTGCACAACAGACAAGAGTCCTGTTGCAGATCTCGTGTGCCTACGATTTCTCCACAGAAGACACCTGAATGGTTGAATTCATATTATAGATACATCTAGGTCCACTTACACACCCACTTTCAAGACTATTAAGAATTAGAGATGGGCACAAACCTAACAATGAACCAGGAAGTTTGTTGAAAATTGCTGATTTGTTGATTCGGGTTCGTTCAGATTCACCCACATGGGAGAACCCAAACTAACACAAACCCAAAATGTTTTGAGCATTTTCCCGAACTTCCTGGTCCAGACTGTGGTTCATCAGGAAAACTTCAGAAATTGATGATTTGTCAACTTCAATGAACCATGAACCAAGATGAACAGCCGTTTTGCTGCTTCATGCCCATCTCGTTACAAATAAATGTTTTTAGGCGTGAAAAAAAAATATATTTTAACCTAAACTGAACAGTGTTGGTACCAAATGAATTATTAATTTTTCACTGACCATATCTTAGGACACCAGTAAAATGTATCAGCCAGCTAACTTTCTCTTCTGATGCTGAAAAATAAAAGATCCTAAGTATCCTTCTGCTAATGCTTTTATGGTTTGCATATGCTTTTGTTAATACTATACTATTTTTAGTAATGTATAATTTGCTTCTGGCCAGAATCCAACAATGCACTTTCATCAGATTCCACAGCTTCCATCATAATAAGTAATAATTCCGCCTCCCCTCCTCATTTGCACCTCCTGCCATATAATGTAAGAAACCATTTCTAGAGAACTAGTAAACTCTCTGGAGCATAATTTTGGCATCTGCACACTAACAAAAAGAATGCAATAGCAAGGCTAGAAACTGCTCTGCATGATTTGTAGTACAGATGACTGCATCACAGCAGATAACCCCAAATGGATTCAGGAAACTAAAACAAGAGGCTTTGAAGGAATTGTCTTCAAATATGTATGGCTTATAGAACTGATGTAACCTAGATAGCAATATCTCATCTTGTAGTATACCCAGTATTCACATTTTAATGTTTAAAATAAACTTTTTCAGCATTTACTAATCATTGTATGCCCACATTTACCTCATCATTTCTCCCTGTTATTTGCTTCCTGCCTCTGGAATTCTTTGTCTCTAAGACCTAACAAATTCCAGCTTTTACACACTCAAATCTTTCTAAACAGACTGCCTTTTTGTAGACATGGTAATGTCTCTTTAGTTTGTGACAAATAATAGTCTGCTTGAAGCTTTGTAGTCACCAGAACACTAAATGCAATAATTAATGGGTCTCTTCAGGAGGGCAAGGTACCCCTTGCCCTCAAGGAGACACTATTAGGCCCATTAGGAAGAAACCAAATTTGGCGACGGACGACATTGGCAATTATAGGCCCGTCGCCAAAGTTTCTTTCCTTAGCAAAGTGGTTGAGAGAGTGGTGGCAGATCAGCTTCAGACGGTCTTGGACGAAACCAACGCCCTGGACCCGTTCCAGTCAGGCTTCAGGCCGCGTTACAGTACAGAGATGGCACTGGTCGCACTGATGGATGACCTGTTGAGGGAGGCCGATGAGGGCAATACGTCCTTGTTAGTCCTCCTCGACATCTTGGCGGCCTTTGATACCGTCACCCACGGTATCCTCCTGGGGAGGCTCTCTGAGTTGGGACTTGGTGGCCTGATGCTTGCCTGGCTCCGTTCCTTCTTGGAGGACCATCCCCAGAGAGTTCAACTTGGGGAGAGTGCCTCGGCCCCGTGGAGTCTCAACTGTGGGGTTCCACAGGGGTCGATCATCTCTCCAATGCTGTTTAACATCTATATGAGGCCGCTAGGTGTTGTCATCAGGGGGTGTGGGGCATCGTGTCACCAGTATGCTGATGACACACAGCTCTACATCTCCTTTTCATCTACCTCAGTGGAAGCCGTCCTGTTCCTTCAGCGCTGCCTGGAGACTGTATTGGAATGGATGCAGTTGAATGGGTTAAGGCTGAACCCGGACAAGACGGAGGTCTTGAGGGTGGGCGGTCCTTCCATCAACGGTATAGGTAATTCCCTTTCTTTTGGGGGGACGACCTTTGCCGCAAAGAGTGAGGTCCGCAGCTTGGGGGTACATCTGGACCCGGCGCTTACCATGGAAACCCAGGTGGCGTTCGTGGTCCGCTCCGCCTATTGCCATCTATGGCGGATTGCCCAGCTGCGACCCTATCTTGATGGAGGCCCCTCACTACTCTAGTCCACACACTCGTAATCTCGAGATTAGATCACTGTAATGCACTCTACGTGGGGCTACTTTTGAGGCTGATGCGGAAACTTCAGATGGTCCAGAATGCGGCAGCCAGGCTTCTTAGTGGGGTGAGAAAACAACAACATATTTCCCCCACTCTGGCTGCTCTGCGCTGGTTGCCCGTCCATTTCCATGTTGACTTCAAAGTGTTAATGATTACATATAAAGCCCTAAATGGTTTGGGACCTCAATATCTGGCATATCGTCTTCTCCCACCCAGATCTACCCGAATCACTCGACATAGCCAGCAGGGACGGCTGAGGGGTCTGACACCAAGGGAGGCCCGGGAGGAGAAAGAAACCGGACCTTCTCGGCGGTGGCCCCTCGGCTGTGGAACACCCTCCCTACCGAAATTTGGCTGGCACCCTCGCTGGGCATCTTCAAAAGCCAGTTGAAAACTTGGCTATTCAAGCAGGCCTTCCCTTCAGTCAGTTAAATGACTCTTATTTTTTTTCTCTTTTGATTTATGCCATTTGGAACTATTTATTTTAAATTAACTGTCAAATATTTTATATTGTTTTTAGTATATGTTGTGAACTGCCCAGAGTAGACTATGTCTAGATGGGCTGCATATCAATCAATCAATCAATCAATCAATCAATCAATAAATGCATACATAGATACATAACATAGATTTCACTGAACGGTTATGCATCTGCACAGAATTCCACTCTGACCACTATTTTAGAAAAAAATAAATATAAAAAGGAACTGAACAGATTAGTGCAAAAAGTTTCCTTTTTCCTTCACAGATGTTTACTTGAACTTACTTTTAACACTTTCCCACAGCACCTGATGAATGTTTCAACATCAGCCACATGTTCTATTACTTCAGAAGCTACAACAATATCAAATGTTTCCGATGCCTCTTCCACAATATCCTCCAGTGCACAGGATCTGTACTGGATTCTCTTTGCTAAGGCAGGATCAAAGGATGTATGCAGTTCTGCTGTTCTAATGTTTTCTTCCAGAGGATCAATTCCAGTTACAGAAGCTCCAAGTCTACCTAGGGGCTAAAGTTGTAATAATCATAAGCACACAGCTCCTGCTACATGAAAAAAATGAAAAAGCCACTTTAGTCAACTAGAAACTTGTTTGAAGTTATTTAAGAACTAGACAGGGCAATCATATTATTGTGCTGAAGCCCTGAGTTGACATTTACAACGAGGACAGAAGGAGTCACATTTGCTCTATCTTTCCCACTCCCTACCCTGAAAAGACTCTTTTTTCCCCTCTCCCAATACCAACAATAGGAAGGAAACAGATAAGCCTGTCTCCATCTTTTCCCATACTGGAGATCTGGCAGTGGGCTGGGAGTATACTTTCTATCCAAAGTCGGAGCAATATTGTCAGGGAGGTAAAAGATCTAAAAGATCTGTGGGGACAGAATCTCCTTCCAAAAGCTGAGCTCTGATTCTTATCTCAAAGGAGGCTCCTTGGTACAGTCTAACACCAGAATAATAAAATGACTGACCCCAAAACATTACATGACTTTTAAGGTTAATTACTAGATAAGAATATAATCCTAAACTGAATTATTAGTGAAAACATATAGTGAACAAATATGTTCATAATTGTCATGTTTAAAATGCCCATAACATTAAAGAATCAATTTTTAGAAATTCTATATCAAAAGTATCATCTAGAAAGAGTATAGTGTGCTGATGTTGCTAATCCTGTCAACACTGGATTCTGAAAAAGCCTGCCAGATACAGTGGGAATTAAAATTTCAGTAAGATGGGTGAAAACTTCACTCAAGTATAGTGGTACCTCGACTTTCGAACGTCCCTACTTGCGAACGATTTGAGTTACAAACAGCTCAGTTCGAAAAAAGTTGCTTCGACTTGCGAACGGAGCATCGACTTACGAACCAAAAAAAGAGAAAAGAAAAGAAAACCTTTCCTGCCCTTTTTTTGACCTAAGTTCGCCTTAGGTCAAAAGAAGAAAAAATAAAAAAAATTCACCCCCTAGTGGTAGATACGGATTAACCGGTTTTGAATTACAGTGGATCCTCTACTTACGGAATTAATCCGTATTGGAACAGTGGCTGCAGGTCGAAAAGTCTGTAGGTCGAGTCTCCATTGACCTACAATGCATTGAAAACCGATTAATCCCATACCCAGCCGTTTTTGTTCCATTTTGTTTTTTTTCTGGTCTGTAGGTCGATTCGCCGGCTGCAAGTCAAATCTAAATTTTGCGTCCAGAGAAGTCTGTAACTCGAAAAGTCTGTAAGTCAAGCCATCTGTAAGTCGAGGGTCCACTGTAGTTCCTATGGGAACTAATGCTTCGACTGAAGAACAGCACCTCGACTTAATGAAAAACAGCAGGTAAGGATTAAATGGTTTTCAATGCATTCCTATGGAAAAGTTTGCCTCGACTTACGAACTTTTCGACGTACGAACGCTGTTCCTATATGGATCAAGTTCGTAACTCAAGGTACCACTGTACTGAGCCTTATCAGCCAAAGTGTGCCTCTACTCACATTCTAATTCTTCATATTAATTCTGTACATTCAATGATAATGATAACAAAACAACCTACTGCACATAAGAAATATTAGCAATTTTGGATTATCGGATTACCTCAAAGTAAACAAGCATACTAGTGCCAAATGTAAGGGAGATTCCAAGCTATAGAAAGACATGGAAGTAATTTCACCCTCTGTGATTCTAAAAAATAAATACGGGGATAGCAGTTTTCAGCACTTTGAAAAGTGTAACACCTACCTCAGTAAGAAGTCCACCACCACAGCCAACATCCAGAATATTCATGCCAGAGAGAGGGCTTCCTAGCTGATGGTCATTTTTCATATTCAAAATGGTATCTCTTGCACAAAATATAAGACAAATTACTTTTAATTAAGACTGCTTACAACTAAGGAATATTTATCAACTACCCCTTGATTAACTAAATTTCGGTGTATTTATGTACTACTCAAATCTCAATGTGTTTGGTTTTTAAGATCCCAAGTTAAGTGCAAAAATTTAGCCAGAAAACAAAAGATCTGGTTCATTTTTAGGAAGAAGTCATCCTCAATTTTCCCTGCATTTCCCTATTAGCATACACCCACACTCCAGAAACAACATGAGTTTGAAAACAAATGAATATGCTAGTATCCTAGACTTCCATGAATTAACATACACTCTGAGTAAAACTGGTCTCTTTTTCCAACTAGGGCTGAACTCTGATTCAAGTGCAATAAACAACATCAGAAAAAGTGGACCAAATTCTAAGTTGACATGTACAAGATTGCAGAGTTTATGTTGCCTACCAATGAAACCTACAGTCCCAATTATAATAGTTCTGTGCTCAGTAAGTATTAAAGCTTTGCAACAGTAGCTTCAAGATCCACATGTGGCATTTTTCAATTCCTTATAGCAGTCTGTAAAGATTGAAATATTTGAAAATATTACCTAATGAAGGGTACTCTAATATCATTCATAGAGTGAAGAGCTGCATATTGTCCATCCTCATCCCACCATTTATGTGCCAGGAGTTGGAATTTTTTCATCTCCTTCGGATCCACTGTTGTTTGCCAGCTGCTGTATGACTGCTCTGCAAGTGAGCTAATGTTAAAAACCCTACATTAAGCAGCTTAAAATACAATTGCAATCAATGAGCAAATAAGGATTAAAAATGTAATAAGAAAGTGTCTTTTGCAGAGAAGGGACATTTGACAAACCTACATTCAGCATCCAATAATTACTTATTTAGCACTATTCACAATGTGGGCATATTAGAACTGTAGTAAGCACCTGACAGTATCTTGCTTCAACCCATTAGCCATAACCTATAAGTGACTTGGACATGAAGCAAGGCTGAAGTACTGGGGACATTCAGTTCATTTAAAAGACAGAAGACTAAATAGACATATATCACTGCAAAATACAAAATATTGGAATAGTCAAGTGGTACTACTCTAGCCGTACACTAATATATAGGCATGCAGAATCAGAATGTTAAAAGCCTACACAGCACTGTAGCAAACTTTCTACTTTAGAAAATGTCTGCAAATAGAAAAAAGCAAGGGAACAAATCAAGATGGCCATCTTGAGCTTTTATTTATATAAAGTTGACAACACTGACAATTTATCACAAAATGCATTGCTTTTTGTCACAGAAACATATTTTCTACAGTTATTACTAGCAACAATACTTACATTTTGTTTCTCAATTCCGGCAAACCAACAAACATACCAAAATTTAATTTCTTAAAGAAGAGCTCATGGACAATAAGAGGAAGCTGAACGCAGCGGTTAACTGCACAAATAAGAAAAGAAAAAAACAATATTAGACTGCCACTAGCTTTGTATTTGGGATACCCAGTGTGGTACAGTGGATAGAGTAAGGAACTGGGACTCAGGAAGCCCGAGATCAAACCTTTGCTCACTTATGGAAACTCACTGAGGTTGTGGAACTGGTAAAATCACTCCTTAAATATCTCACTTACCTTGAAAGCCCTGCTAAGGTTAATATGAGCTGGTTCCAACTTGAAAGCACATAACAACAACTTTGCATTTACTCTCCATGCTTGTCAAGTTTTTACAAGATATTAATAGTGTTATCAATTAATCAATTCATTTCTGATACTACTTTTAATGAGCTTCAACTACACTAATTCAATTTGTATTACTACCTTGACAGAACCCACCTAACACACATTCCAGCAGTACCCTCAAGTGCATATCTTATTTTTTTTAAAAAACCTAATCATAATCTGATTACATACTCAATGTGACAAATACTGAACTAAAATCCCAGTGGTGAGTGGAAGGGGAGGACATGGAGGACACTTGTCCATCTGTCACCCCCACTGTCAAATCAAGTAAACTAGTCACATGAGGGCCAGATAACTTGTGTGGGTCTCTGAAAATTGAGCCAAAGCTGGAGTGCTGATTTATCTCAACCAACATCAACAACATTATTTCCACTGTGTAAATTTGCAAGGATACATAGGCCAATGAAGGTAGCATAAATATTTCTCTACTTCTATGACACAATCTAAAAATATGACATGTGGCATACTGCTCTGGTACTGTGCAATGAAAGCCAATACAATATATTTTATTTTGACTCTCCTAAATAAAGCGTTTGCAACAAACAAGCAATATAAACATGTAAAGTACTAAATAAAACAGACACAGTGAAAGCAACACACACAGGTTGAAGCTAAAAGTGTAGTGTTTGAAGAAGTGGACTGAGTCATGAAAGCTCACACTAAACTTGTTTTTGTTTGCATCGTAAACAGCATGATTATAGCGGAGAATGCCTAAAGAAGGGCTAAGCGGAAAGGGAGCTTTTGCTCGCTTTCACTTGGAAAGAGACCGTTCTGTTTACACCAACCAGAGGGAGGGCCCTGGATGGGAAAAGCTTCCTGCCGGGGCCGGTTTTGTGCACCCCTGGGGGGCTGGGAGCCCTCGCTCCGAGCTCCCCGTCAGACTCGAGCGGCCTTCGTTCCCAGTCAGCGCCGCAATCTTACGAACCGGCAACTTCTCGGCCGCCTTCGCCGGCCCACAGCCCCTTCTTTCAATGAGAGGCGCTAAGCCCCGGTGTGTCGCCCTGCATGAGGGCACCCCGGGCCGTCTCTTGGCATCGTGGCAGCCACCTCAAGAGTATGGAAGACTCAGCCGTTCGCGCCGGGAATTATTATTATTATTATTATATTACTGTATTATGATTTTGTAAGCTGCCTAGAGTGGTCATATCGACCAGATAGGCGGGATATATTTGTGTGCATTCACAGAAGACCACGATGAAGAAAGAAAGGTTAGGCCGGGGCCCCCCGCGGCGCGCCCGGGGGGGGGGGGAAGGCTGTCAAGAGCTCCTTAACTCACCGAGGAGCGCCCGCGGGTGGAGGGCGCGTCGACAGAGCCACCAGCCGGTCGCCATTCCAGCCGGGCAGCCCCACGGGCCCCCTCGCCCTCCACAGCCCGCGCCTGCCTGCCCTCTTCGCGGATGAAGGAGGCGACCTCCGCGGGAAGGCCAGACTACATCGACAGCACGCCCCGACCTCCGGCCCTTCCTGGCCCGATAGGGCTCGCTGTTTGCCGTCAGAAGCCGCGCCCAGCCTCCGGTTCCGGCGAGGGGAAAGGACGTCCTCCTCCTCCTCCTCCTCCATGGCTGGAAGGAAGGGCGGTGTGGTGGCGCTGCTCGACTTCTTCTGAGCCTCCGTGAGCCCAGTGGGGGCTTTTGCAGCGGAGGAAGCCAGCGCCGACAGGCCTTTCCAATCCTTCAGTTCATCTAAGAAGGGTCTCCTTTGTTATTATGGGTGCTGCGGCTCTATGCGCCCCGGGAATAAACAAGGGGCCTGAAGCCTTTTTTTTTCTGTAGCGCGATCCTTGGGAAAGTATTAATTCAGCCCTTTTGAAAGAAATGGGATTTATTCGTGGGCGATGGAAGACCGCGGTTTTCGTTACCGGGAAACTCTTCTCCATCATTTCTCACGCCCTTGAAGTAAATCCTTGGCTACTGGATTTGAAGGATTACCTAAGCATAGTTGACTGTCTAGAATTTACACAAAAGGCCTTGCTGTGCAGAACGGCTCAACTGATCCATTCCAGAGTGTCTTGAAAGTGTGTTATTTCCCCCCCCCTTTTTTTTTTTTGCAAAGGAACCTGCATCGTCTTTCAGGCCCTCCTCCTTCCCACATTCCTTCTCTATAGCTCAGTCACCTACCCCAGCCTCCCAGATGTCACCCTCAGCAGCCTAACCTTGATTTCAGCTTTCTTAGATCTCTGGACTCATACCTGACCTTTCCCTCTTCAGTCTCTAGGCCTTGTCCAGATAGGGAAGAAATTATCACACCCACCCACACACCCATCCGATCTAGCTGTCAGTGGGATTCGCTAGGATTTGTGTTCACACCGAATTTTAAAGCCACTTCTCTGCTGACTTCTGGCTAAGAATCTATTCCCTTAGATAAATGTTAAAATATTAGACTACTGTACTACAAACTTCTGATATGGAAGCTCTGAGGCAAAACCGGAACTCTTCACAGGAAGTGCTGTGGGAGGCTATCCGTTAAGGTGGGACAGAGGCTGCAACAGGTTTCAGGATTTCAAGATAGGACGGTATCACTCCAGTCCTGGCTCGTTTGGGCTAGTTGCCTGTATGCTTCTAAGCTAAATTCAAGGTTTTAAGGCTGACATATAAAGCCCTTAATGGTTTTGAGGGGCCCTACTTGTCGGGATGTCTCTCTCCGAGACGTACCCTGGGCTAGGAGGATGTAACCAGGCCTTTTCAATAGTGGTTGTATCTTTATGGAATGTGCTACCAGTGGAGGTGTGCCCAGGCCCTTCCCTCCTAATACTTCAAAAGCATTTAAAAGCACTGCTAATTAGAGAAGCATTTCATAATATCCCCTTATAATGCTATTATTTAGGTCTTATGTTGATTTACATTTTTTTAAAGATTTGTCATCATCTTGGGCCTGATGAGGGTTATTTTTATATTTTTATGAGTTGGGCAAGGGGTGGGTTCTTGTTTCATATGTTGGAAACTGCACATAGTGGCATGCCACTGACTAGATGCTTTGGTACACAAATTCAATAAATAAAAATTTAAATCCAGGGAGATGCTAGCATGAAACATGTCTGCAAAGGTGAATTACAAATTTACATATTCCAACTAATTTAAATTTCTAATTTACACAGCACACTTCAAGATTTGGAATTGTTCTGAGAAGTACTGGTATTTCCCTTTGGCCTGCATTTTACTAACATCACTAAGATTTTAAGTACAGCTTGTTTTTTAAGTTTAAAATGAAACTAGAGCCTAGTGTGGGGTAGTAGTTACAGCGATGGAGTAGGACCAGGAGTTATTTGCCATTAAGTTGCTCTTCTGACTGCAACCCTAAGAATGAGTGACCCTATGAATGAGTAATCTCCAAAATGTCATCATGCCCTACTCAGTTTTTGCAGACTCAAGGCCATAGCTTCCTTTATGAAGTCAATCCATCTCATATTTGGTCTTCCTCTTCTTTCTGTCTTCAATTTTCCCTGGTAAGCCTGGGTGTTTGTTATACTATTTACTTGTTATATTGACCAAGATATAGGCTGCACAGCACACCCCAGATATTTACTCTCGCCATACAAAATGAATGACAGCTAAGATAAAATGAATTTTAATGTAAATGTCAATAGTTTAGCTCCAATGCTTTGCTTGTGATGCGAATGCCGTATATACCATTCACCAATACAGAAGAGTAGTCTCTCTTTATTGGCACACAGTCATTACCCAGATGAGTGAACTTGTGCGAAAGTGAACCCAATTTCCATAGTTACAGGAAGTGACAATCCAACTGCTGGCATATATAAACATTTCATGCACAATCTTGTTTATTTAACAGATTTACAGGAGTCTAAAATTAAAAAACAATTGTAGTAGATCATGGAAAGCTATAATCCTCAGCAGTTGATTATAAAACAAATGGGAGAAAAAATGGGGGGGGGGACTTAGCCCCTTTGTTTTGCTTTCTTAAACCAACTACAGAGTAAGATTATTTCTTTGCTAGAAAACTGTCAAGTAATAAACATGTGTTCCTTAGAGTGTACTGGTCTCCCTCTCTTAAATTTAGACAAAAGAGAAACAGTAGGGCTTCCAATTCAGTGGTGAAGCCCTATGCATGTTTACTTGGAAGGAAAGTCTAACTGAAATTAAGTAAGTGGGGCTTACTCCCAAATATGCACAGTTATAGTTGCTTACAATTAGCTAGGATTCTTTGTCCTAAAGAGAAAAATAGTGTGACGTTATATTGCACAGCTTCACTTAAAAGAAACAAAATGCTAGGAGTCCTCTATCAGAATGCATTATTTGACATTTTGAAATTCACAAGGAATAGATGTTGATAGCACTTTTGGAGAGCAACAAGTTGTAGCAGCTCATTTGCAAATACCTGTACTTGTAAGAAGCTCAGTTTTAGTTAGTTGAAACAGACCCCAAAACAAAACAAAACAAAAAACCAAACCAAAACAAAAACCCTATAATCAACTTCATGTCACAATATGAAGAGCACCCTTATTTTGTAGTACAAATCTAATTCTAGTAATAGTTGCAAGATGTAGTTATGGTTAACTTCATTTTGAATTCAACAGTTACAGAAAAAAATAGATTATTTAACCATATGAACTATCCAAGGTGTGTTTTTGAACACTAAAGCAGATATTGACGAATAAAGTTCCAAAGCTTATTAACTCACACTGTACATCCATGGTTATTCGTACTTCACTGCTATTTGTGCTTGGCCGCTCTTGCAATATCTTAACAGTTAGAATTAATTATCCACACTTTATTCACACATGGTATGATAATGATTCAAGAGGGACGTTTTAAAAATAAACAAAGCCCAAAAACTCAGGTAGCTATTTTCAATCCAGGGATCAGCCTTGATTTATCCAAGAATGAAACCAAATGTTAAAACCAAATTAATTATTTTACAAAACAAAAGTGCTCTGTAAATATATTCTGATATTTTAAAATAAATTAAAATGCAAGAATTTAAACAAAAATGAACTAAAGAACTTTATTGACATCACAGTACATTCAATATCAATTTTAAGAACAGTACAGCTGAAAGAGAGTGACATATTTCATAGTCTTAGTAAGCACTACTGTTTGAAAAAAATGTAAATACAAAGAAATCCTAGCAAGTACTTAACTCCGAGCAGCATTTCCAAAAAATACAGCTATTTACAGATTTTTTTAAAAAAAGGGGGGGTTCAGCTTTCACCTACATAGCCACAATAGTAGCTTCTATAATGAGCCTCGATAATGAGACAAGCTCTTTAAAACTCATGGAATTTTTATATCATGTGACTAGTGTGATACTATTCCTCAGCGTTTACGACGAGGAGGAGTCATTGACCTGAAAAACAAAGGAAAGGGGAGAAAATTAAAGGGCAAAAGCACCATTAAAGCCATGCACACTTTAGGCTTAATATTAATTTTCTTCAAAAGAAAAAAATGCTATCAAGTCATCCACCCTCCCACCGAAAAAACATTCTGAAGAAGTTAGTTTAACTTGTAAATATATATGTATATATATGTTGCAGGCATGATGATGAACAAGAATATAAACAAATATATAAATCAAACAAGATACTTAAAAGAATACTACCTTGATCGTGATTTAGACTTGTGTTTGCGGCTTGCCTTCTTACCAGACCTTTGAGATTTCTCCACAGACCGTGACCGACTATGCTTTGACTTCTTAGGCTTCTTCTCTTTGCTGCTGCCTGGTGACTCAGAACTGCTTCTGGTGCTAGATTCTGAACCTGAACGTTTTTTGCTCTCTTTGGTAGAACTTCTCTTGCTTTCCTGCCTAGAGTTGTGCCTTAACATTTTTGAAGATACTGATTCACTGTGTGAGAAAGTTCTTTCACTATCTCTTTTTCTTTTCAACCTATCATCGTGATTGCCAGCTTTACTATCTTTTTCTTCTCTTCTCTGTTTCTCTTTGCGTTTATCCTGGTCTCGCTCTCTCTCCCTGTTCTTTTTCTTATCTTTTTCTGTGCTTCTACTACGTTCCTTTTTTTTCTCCTGGATTTTACTATCGTGACTGTGCTTTTGCCTATTTCCACTTACACTTCTACATGGATCCTCGTTTTTACGTCTATCTCGACTTCCACTGCGAGTGGAGTGGCTAGCCCTTGAATGACTATCACTTCTACGCCTCTCCCAGTTCCGATCATGGGAAGGACTACGATTTCGCCTTCTTTCCCCTCTTTCCACACTCCTGTGTCTACTAGATCTCCGTCTTTCTCTTACCTTGCCCCTACTCCTACTCCTTTCTCTCCTGGTTCTGTGTGAATAGCTCCTACTTCTACTGCGCCTAACCTTATGAGAAGGTGACCTGCTGCGACTACGCCTCTTTTTCCTTTTAGGGGAGGAAGAATGTGAAGAGCTGCGACTACTGCCAGAGCTACTGCTATAGGATGAACTAGAAGCTGTACTGCTGCTGCTACTGCTGCTGCTTCTGCTGTTGGCACTTGAGCTACCACTGCTTGAACTTTTTGACCTACTCCTTCCTGTTCTTTCTTTAACCTCTTTTTTGGGTTCAGCATCTGGTGTCACTTCCTTTGGAGATTTTTTCTTTTCACTAAATACATCCTCATCCTCCTCCACTTCTTTTGCATCTTCTGCGGGTGAATTGCTGCTTTGCTCTTTACTGGCAAGATCGCTCATCTCTTTTGCAATTTTCTCATTTTGGAGCTTTTCTTCTGCAAATGCACAAAGAGAAACAAATATAAAAATCATACCAAGTGATGTCATACACATCTCTCACTATCTTCTGACTGCTGATGCCCATTGAATCAACAAGGTAGTATAGCCTAATAATGGCACAATTGCTTCACAATGCTTGCTGTGGCCATCTGAAAGTCAGGGGAGCTGACTTCAAAATGAGCACACATTGGTTGTTGTGGGTTTTTCGGGCTCTTTGGCCATGTTCTGAAGGTTGTTCTTCCTGATGTTTCGCCAGTCTCTGTGGCCGGCCTTCGCGAATACATTGAACACACATTGTCCATTAATCCTAATCTAATCCTAATGAAATGTTAGAAACCGAAATAGTAACGGAGCCTACATATTAACACCAATATTTACAAAATTTAAATTAACTCATGTTTTCTTCCTATCATGGAATATAACCAAAAAAGTTTCAAATCACACCCGGTATCCCTTAAGCACACACTTAATCCAGATGTTTTCAATTGATGGTTCATGACCCAAAGGCAGGTAGTCTGTGAGGTCACTAAGAACCACTGCACTTTTGGTTTTCTGTCCTATGTTAAAGAGCAGCTTCTGTGAGTCACTATGTTCCACGGCCCTTCCTTTTGTTTCCCGTTTTAAAATCATTCACTGTAAACAGAAAAGAACCAGAATAACATGATGCTTAGATCTACCTGCCATTGCAACCTGCCTCCTATCCTCTTTACAAATTTCAGAAAAGTTCACTTTCTACAGAACTGTGCCTGAATGCTGCTTCCATCTGCCACAAGAAACAAGCCAGAAAATGTGCATCCAAAGTGGTTTTCAAAGCAGAAAAAATATGGTCTCAGAAGAAGTGATTGCTGCAGCTAACAGGACTTGTCTCCACAGCAATGAGATGGGCAGCAGCAGGATGCTTGGACAGGACACATATGAAAACCACAAATTAAGAAATATTTTGTAGCTTTTAAAATCATACCTGCAACAGAATAAACTGCCATTAAACATACGGGCTGGGTCTCTTACTAGAAATTAAAAAGTGCAACCCTAACTCAAACATACATCAGGAGCAGGGGACTGGAATTAGGATTTGCTATTATGTGCCACCAAGTCACCTCCAATTTATAGTGACCCTGTGAATCAGCCACTTCAGAATATCCTGTCATTAACAGCTGTGCTCAGCTCTAGCAAACTCAAGCCTGTGAAGTCAATTGATCTCATATTTGGTCTTCCTCTTTTCTTGCTGCTGTCTGCAGTTTTTTGTGCCCAAAGTGCTCTTATTCTGACCAATTCCAGATAAGAGTCTGTCAAAAGAACTGCTTTGCTGGCAGGAAGAGCCACAGAAGGCCCTCTTTGAGGTCTAATCTAGAGACAGCCACAATACTGGCACAAAGTTAGGCCTCAGCAAAGACAGTCCTAAATAATTTCCTACAGCCCTAAACTGGGAAGGATTTAGACTGAGCAAAAGATTTAGCTGCCCTAATACTGGCCAGTGGCCATTTCAGCCACATAGAGCTGTTTTCCTAGTTAGCAACACAATTATATATTTTACAGTTACATTTCATGCATAAAGATAGAAGAACTCACTCAACTACAACTTGTATATTGTCAAGGTCTTACAAGAGTAGTCTTATGTGTACCTTGGTTTCTGTGAATATACTTTTTTAAGCCATGTTCAAGGATTGTCTGGATGCCATAACCAGCTCCAGGAGCCTCTTCCTCAGTTCAAAGTGGAGGTTCCACTGCATTTGGGACAATTTTTGTAATTCCCAATCCTGAAGTCCCTATAAGTGTGGGTGGGTGTGCTGAAGGATCTCTTTGTGCTACTTATCTACTGGGTTGGACCCAGCTAAGTATAGCATGTTTGTTTAGTGGAAGCCCGGTTCCTTGCCTGGTCCTCTACCTAGCTATTCCCCAAAATACTCCAAAGTATGAAGGACCTTCTGAGTGTCACGAGTTGCAGCACAGGGCCATCACCAAGATCCCAATTCTTAGGAGAAAATGTTGGGGTAGTCGAGATAGAGTCAACTTATAAGTACCTATTATGGATCCAACACAGAGGCCAGAATCCTGTTTGTGGGTGTAAATTTATGGGTGTAAATTTCAGTGGCAAGTAACTGCATCAGCCTGGGCATTATCACTCAGCAGTTGTCTGACCCAGTGTGTGACAGGAAATGCCTATGCTGACTTTTTACCTTGCAGCAAGTTGCAGCTCAAAGTTTAAGCAGTAGAATTATGATGACATATATGTGCAGGAGGATTCCGGCCACTTGCTCAGTTTTGCCTCTATACTACTAGTACTGTAATTTGTAACCAATTCCTTTTCTGGAAATCTTCTGTTGTATATGGCTATCTCTTGGCAAGGCCTTTACTTACAAGGAATCTGTGCTCCTGGAATACAGGTGGTCACCTGTAGTTAAACATGGAAGTGTGATATTCTGAACCAATATGAAATCACAGAGTGAAAATCAGAAAGACAAATAATGAGCAACAACAAATCTTTTACGTTTCTACAGGTACACTTTACTACATGTCTCACAGGGCAAGTTGTTGTGCATGGTAGGAAGTTGTATGTAAACTTATCTTTTATCCTAAGATTCAGAATTAAAATGCCTCATTATGTGTGTAAACACCAGATCCTGTGTTGCAATTATGATTCAAGTGGGGTTGCAAGCCTGGAGTGGACAAAAATCACCACTGCTACAGGGTCTTAATTTTTGCTCCCAAAAATGCAGTAGGGCTGTTTTCCCCCATGTACAACAATCTACATTTATTCAAATGCAGTCATGTCATCTTCCTCTGGTTGCTGCACAATGGTGGAAGGCGGGATTTCACTTACCTGGGGCTTATTTTTTGGGGGTAGGGCTTATATTATGAGCATCCTGAAAAATCATACTAGGCCTTATTTTCACGTTAGGTCTTATTTTCGGGGAAACTGTATATTTCATTTTGAACCAACGCATAGCCTACCTTCCAGCTGTTTTTCTAGCAGTAACTGCTGTTCTCTCTCTTTCCTCCAAAATGCTTCTTGTTTTTGTCTAATTCTGTGTCGCAGTTCTTCATCATCAGTATCGGATGACTCAGAGCCTCTGTCACTCCTCTCATCGTCACTGTCTCCTGATCCATAACCACCCAGTCCACCTGCGTGCATAAAGCCTAGTCTATCACAAGGAAAGATTAATCCTGGTTCTTAAAACTTATGCAGGGCAAAGAAGAGAGTATATTGCCCATCTTTCACTTCTTCACTGAAGAAGACACTTATTCTGGAGGAAGTGCCAATGTTGGTTGACTGAAGTGTTCAAGGCCCACACATTTGACCTCTTGTTTACTATGTGGTTTTACATCTTCTGGGACAGCCTGCCATGTTTTCTAGCAAGCAATCAAAAGCATTAAATATTTTTCTCCTAAATATGTGGGTTAAAAAGCGCTTTATCGGGCCATTACCCAATGTTTAGTGTACATCCATAAGAGCTGGAATGAACTACCTAAGATGTGTCCCTGAAGACACTTTTACACTGATTAGAGCTAGCTTCAATATCCAGGGCTTCAAGAAAAATCCCAAATGCCAATTAATTTTCTAATGTTAAGAAAAGACTGCACATCAAAAATGTACAGATATGGAACAGGAATGGACTTCTCTTCCCCCAAAAAATGGATAGGAAAAAATAACATACTGCTAGAAAGTAATTTTGAACATCTGATACAGAAGCATTTTTACTTTCTTTCCCAGGTTCTCTTAATCTTTAAATTAATTTGCAAAATACACATAAACTAATATGAAAGAATTCATCACTACTGGTGATAATATTTATTTATTTAATATTACATAATAATTAAAACATTGCATTATTGATGTTACACTGACATGCAAACAATTTTAAAGACTATTACATTCATAATGCAATTCTGAACTTCATATCCAGCCTGACCTTGTATCATGCAAGTGCCAGCTATGAGAATTCAAAATATACATTTGTTGTGTGGGATTTCTGACAAGAGAAAATTCTAATTATTTTCTAAAGTGTTATCGAAATGCTAAAAAGAAAACTTTGTTTAAATTCACTGTAATTATATATTGTATTAACTATCTGGCCAAAAAGGGGGGAGGAAATCCCCTGGCTCACTTTCAGGAATGGCTTATATCATGTTTACAAGAGAAAGAATACTACTGTATACATTCCAAAGATTTCAATTGGTGTACCTGCAAGATTAATCCTTTCTAAGTCACAAATAGTTATCAAATACTTGCCTAGCTTCAGTCTAGTTTCAGAATATATTTAGAAATGCAATGTTATCTCCCCAGTAAGTCCCTCTCAAAAATCAGAACATACTTACCAAGTCCAGTGAGGGAAGCCAATGCACTGGACTGTGCCAGCTGTTTTGCAGGAGCTTTGTATCACATCAACAACAGGAACAACATGTTAACACAAATAGCCACGATTTCATAGTCATGAGAGTCTATGGTATTGTTAAATCTACTACTATTGCTGTTTTGTGGAGGAGAGAAAACACCATTAAAAACGTATCATCCATTGACAGCCCAGTAACTTTCTGGCCATGACGGTTTAGAAATTTAAACTGTGAATTAACAGTGGAGAGATTAGAACAAAAGTCAGTCCCTTCATAGTTATACAGGTCCAAGTTAATACATTTCATCTGCAATATACAGAGCATTAAATTATTTACACAGATATAAATAGAATATAGCTGGCTAACAGTGAAAGCAAACTCAATTCTTCAAAGCTTGACTTAACTTCTCTTTAGTTATATTTGAAATAGAAAGTAGCATACAGCCTGTTTAAACACACACATGTTTCAATACTTGAAAGTAAAATTATCTATGAAGGAAATGGAATAACTTAAGTTAACTCACAGCACACTGCACAGAACAACACTGCACAGGACAACAGTATATGATTGTTACAGTTTTGCAATTTTTCTCCCTTGCAGTTATACTTTTAAGGTTCTGCTACTCTGGATTAAAGATGTTCCGGGGCATGCAAAAAGATATTTAATGGGACTGTTAGGAAATCTAAGCATACCTTTTATTGCTTTGCGGTGAACCTCTTTAGCCACATAATAAATTTCTTCATTTGTGACATCTAGGAGAATTTCTGTCAGCAGCATTTTTGTCAGCAACATCTAAACAATTGTGAACAGAAAAGTAGCACTTCCAACTTTGTTTTCAGCTATAATTGTGCAAAAAGTTATTTGTATCTCCAAGTTGAAAGATATTAATGGTTTGTATTCTCGAAGGCTTTCATGGCCGGGATTTGATGGTTGTTGTGGGTTTTTCGGGCTCTTTGGCCGTGTTCTGAAGGTTGTTCTTCCTGACGTTTCGCCAGTCTTTGTGGTTGGCATCTTCAGAGGAACAGGAGTAGGAACTCAACAGAGCACGGTCAGAGGTTCTACTCCTGTTCCTCTGAAGATGCCAGCCACAGAGACTGGTGAAACGTCAGGAAGAACAACCTTCAGAACATGGCCAAAGAGCCCAAAAAATCCACAACAACCATATTAATGGTTTATTTTACCTAATATTTTCTTGTACCACTAAAGAAAACACTGAACACATGCTGCACAATTCCTTACTTTTACAGCAAACTGCAAGCAGTTTAGTCCATCAGAATTAAAATGCCTTGTTATGTGTGTGTTACGTCTAGGGATGTTGTGGGAAGCTCCTGCCCAAGGCCATTAGTTGTTATCTGTTTCAGTTAGAGCAAACTCTCCTGGCAGAAGTAGCAGCAGCCCAGCGGGTGGGGTGACCTCTCATTCTGCCTTTTCCCTTAGAGTTAAATCATAAGTTCAAAGACTTTCTCCAGCCATTCCTAGTGGCGATTAGGTGACCAGTATCCTATCTGAATTCTCATAACATTCTGTGTAATCATGCTAAGTTAATAAAAAGTATTCTCAAGGTGTTGCTTTTAAGATCTGCTGGCTCTGTGGTTGACTTCTTTGTACTTTCTCTAAGGTTAATTGCTTTTCTAATTCTTTGTGATCACCCACATCATTAGCCTTCATTTTGTTCCATAATCACCTAAAGATGTTAATTGGGATATTTTTGAGATTTCAAATCCCATAGTTCTCCTTTTGGTGAATCCCCACTGCAGGATCCAGACCTCACAGACACTTATATTGTGCTCATCTGGAGAGAAGGCCCAGCTGGCAGGCTTCAATGCCTTAAATAGGCCCTATTTGAAGAAGATGATTTCTGGCAATTATTAGAGCAGCTTCCTTTTCAAGGAGGAAAGGAAGTTAAGCCTTCTATCCAGGGCATGAAGTTAAGCCTTCTTTCCATGTGAGCAGAATTTGGACATCTGCAAGGTTTGCGTCCTGCAGTGGGACTCCCATAAAACAGAATTATGGGATTTTTAGTACAAAAAATTGAAATCCTTATCCCTACTGCAGCTATACAGTAGAGCTGGGACTGATTACCATTTTCCAGGTTGTACATGTAGTTTCTTTTTTTCTTTCTTTCTCCTTTTTTTCCTTAACAGGTACAAGCCGCTTAGTGTGGTTTCTAGCCATCTCCACAAAAATAAAAGGGTCCATGCATGAGTAACAGTTTTCCTAATAACCTGAGGTGCACACTTTGATTATTGATAAATGGCTTTTAAAATTGTTAATTTTAATCAACTAAAAGGGAATATTTTTAAAGTAAGTTTTTAAAAATATAAGTATAAAATTGAAGTGCCTCATGAAGAAAGGAATACCTTTTAAGATGCAACTTATATATACAGACCACATTTTAAAAATAAGTACTATACATTCTTCACACTGTTTTTCTAAAAACAATACATCTACATAGTTGATTAAATCACTAACATTTCTATAAAATCAATTTGATTGTGCAGGATTTCTTTAAACAGATTGATAGCCCAACAACCCGTCACAGAAAGGTGTAGCCAATTAAGTAACTTCCAAATTATCCATACCATCTGATACTCTTTTTCTTCTTCTGTCATTTCTGGTTCACTTTGCTCTTCTTGAGCTGGAGAGGGGCTCCTAGTGACCTTTCCACTACTTATAGCTTCTACATTATCAAGGTCTTCATCTTCATCGTCAGTGTCCTATAATGAAAGGAACATGCTGTAGTTCAGGATAGTTATATTATATTGTTATATTTAAAATAATTAAAGATTTTTATTTGAACATATATATTTAAAATGTTATTTATATTCATGTTTAAAATGTTAATGATTTATTCTATTAAACAGGAAAGAGAAAACACATTCCACCGTACATGCCATCACTTATGGGCACATTAATATCTTTTAGAAGTATATCTGTGAAGATTCTCAGTCATCCAGGTAAGGTTATCTGGAAGTTGAGTCTTTTAAAAGACATTCTACCCTGTTTCCCCGAAAATAAGACCTAGTATGATTTTTCAGGATGCTTGTAATATAAGACCTATCCCCCAAATAAGCCTCAGTTAAATTAAACTCAGCTCTCCACCATTGTGCAGCATTGTGCAGCAACCAGAAGATGATGACATGCCTGTAAAATAAGACATCCCCTGAAAATAAGTCCTAATGCGTTTTTTGAAGCAAAAATTAATATAAGACTCTGTCTTATTTTCGGGAAAAACATGGTAACAGAAAGGACCTGCTCTTGCTGTTACTTGCCAGTTCATTAATTTTGTTTAGAAGAGGTACCAAGAACCAACCGGCAACCCATCAGATAATGCCATATCATCCTAACCACTGGGTACGCTGGCTGGGGTTGACAGAATTTGGAATCTAAAAAGATCAAGAGGACTATGAGTGCCCCACCCCTGCCTTAGAGAACTGACCATAAATGGAGAAGACTGTAGATGGCCTACTGCCTTCACTAATACAGTACAAAAATAAATCTTAGCTTTCCACAGTAGTAATAAACAGAACTTAGTATCCAATATAGAAAAATACATTATAAAGCAATATATCCACTTACAAATTTACTTTTCTGTGGTAATCGAGGACCATCCTCTTCTCCTGGCTCTGCATTTTGCTTCTTTTCCTTTTTAGAGAGCTGAGAGCGTTGCTGCTCCATTCTCTCCTTCTCTAGCTTCTTCTGTTTTTCTCTCTCCATTTTCTCTAGTCCCTCACGAATCCAAGCAGGTAGTGTTCGTCGCTTAACAGCATCTAAAGAATCAAATTTATTTAGCAGATTTTCCCCTCACTAGACAGCCTCATAAGATTGTGCCTGAGCTCCTATAAAAGACAAGGGTTGAAGCTGTACCATTTGAAATGAAACAGATTCCATATCTTGCTCATGTTTTCAGAGTGTCTTTTGTCAGTGGGGCTTAGAGACCAGAAACTATATTCTCACAGATCTGCTGGATCTGGTAATAGGAACAAGCCCAGTTGACATTGCTAAAGACATTAAAGTGAACATGGTGAGGACATACCAATCTGAGGGGGCTCCTGTTTCACAGGCAACGTGATAGGCGAACGCTGGCGATCTCTGAATGCTGGTCTTTCCCTTCGGTTTTGAGGAGGTGCAGGAGGTGCTGGAGGCCCTGGAGGCCCCGGTGGTCCAGGCTGCCAGTAAGGTGGATGAAACCCACCTTGAGGTGGACCAAAAGAAGCCCCATGCTGAAAGAGTAATGGAGTTCATTTTCCTTCAAATCAATGCTATTCCTGCCCTAACCTTAACGTTTTGCCTTTCTGGAAAAATTAAGGTAGGAAGAACAGGAATTTAAGTACACATAAAGAACCGAGATCCTAAGGAAAGTTATTTTATGTTCTTGAATGCAAAACTCTACATTTTGATCTAGAAACATTGGCTAGGGTCCAGAGGTCTATTTTAAGCATGCCCAGTCATACTTTTGCCTTTTAAAATTCTATGCAGTTGACACAGTTATAAGCTGATTTTTCAAAATCTACAGATTCAAAAGCAGTTCGTAATGCAGCAGTGGGGTTGCTAGCCAAGAAACAAAAGCCCAAAGCACACATGGGAACATGTATTTCTTTAGATCCCAGACAGTTAATATTTTCAGACAATCAGAATATTCATTATGCTTTTATCCTTTCTATGTCAATAATCTGGAAGGAGAACAGGGAGTAAGAAAACTGTGTCATATGGAGGCATAGCATATGCTCTTTCTTAATGTAAGTGAACTGTTATCCCTCTCATGAGCTTGAGTTTTCATTATCATATGATTTCCAATCAAAAATATATTGAACCCATTTTTTTAAAAAAACATATTGCCCCAGCACATGGTCTAAGATCAAAATCATTTGACACATAACTGACATTTCTGAACACTGGTAAAAATGGTGTATTCAAATGAGACATACCGGCTAAAATCCAGCAGCAAGCTGCAACTAGAGTAGAGCCACTAAAACTGGAATAATCCGACAAACTCACTCTTCTGTAGGTTTCCACTGATTCAACAGGCCTAGTCTAGCTGTTTTACTATTGGATTTCAGCCACTGTTTCTTTGATGAAACAGTAATTAAACAAGAATAGCACTGAATACCATTTTTGTAAGATTAGCATTATCAGTCAATGGATCACCTGGCTTTAAACCTCAAAAGAGGCCTCTAGCTAGAGACATTGTTCATGTATGTGACCATTCTGCCTTCTCATCATAATTTCAAAAAAGTTTAGTCATAATAAGCAACAAAAAACGACCTAGAATTTTCATATATTTCCTATTACTGTAGCATATCAAAACTAAAACAGGCAAGTGCAGTCCCTATAATTATTAGGTCAAAAACGGGATTTAAAATTGCCAGCAAGCATGGTCAGCTTCAGTTGCTTTATTATTGGGAGGAAAGTCACTGCAGCTACTGTTTAGGACAAAATTTCTTTAACATTTTCTTTCATTTTAAAGATCATGCTTGGCACTAGAAGTTGTTGATGTGTGTGCGGCTTGCACTGGAATGTCACCTTCAATCTCCAAATTACCAAGCTGAGGCACACACTGTCATCTGTGTTTAAAGTTTCAGCTGAATAATGTACTAAATACATTAATGCCTACATCCTTAAAAAAACAGGAAAATTAAAATCTTTACTAAATAAAGCCAGACAAAAGTTAAGTTATAGTGGCCAAAATCCTGTTACCCTAGTAAATTGTACTAGAGTGGGGCTATGAATCAGTAGGTATTTGCTACGACAATTCTGCCATATTAAATTTATCTAAATGGGCCTACTCTAGTTGTGACACTGTGTTCAAGTTGTTGTTGTTTAGTCATTAAGTCGTGTGCTATTTCTTAATGCAAGTGAACAGGAACATGGACCAGAGCACACCAGGCCCTCCTGTCTTCCACTGCCTCCTGGAGTTTGGTCAAATTCATGTTGGTAGCTTTGATGACACTGTCCAGCCATCTCATCCTCTGTCGTCCCTTTCTCCTCTTGCCCTCACACTTTCCCAACATCAGGGTTTTTTTTCCATGGAGTAGTCTACTCCAGACCAACAATTCAGAAGCATCACTTCTTATGCAGACCTTTGTCAGCAAGGTGATGTCTCTGCTTTTTAATATGCTGTCTAGGTTTGTCATCGCCTTCCTCTCAAGAAGCAGGTGTCTTTTAATTTTGTGGCTGCTGTCACCATCTGCAGTGATCATGGAGCCCAAGAAAGTAAAATCTGTCACCACCTCATCTTCCCCTTCTATTTTCCAGGAGGTGATGGAACCAGTGGCCATGATCTTAGTTTTTTGATGTTGAGCTTCAGACCTTTTTTGCACTCTCCTCAAAAGGTTCTTTAATTCCTCCTCACTTTCCCCCATCAGAGTGGTATCATCTGCATCTCTCTGGTTGTTGATATTTCTTCCTGCAATCTTAATTCCAGCTTGGGATTCATTCAGTCCTGCCTTTCGCATGATGTATTCTGCATAGGCCATCTGAATCAAAAGAATTTATGAACGTATCGGTTCACAAAATCCCAACTGATTCAATGGACGTACTTTAGGGCAATTTACTACACTCAATAACAGGATGTTGGCCGAAGTCTTAAGTATGTGTGGATTTAAAATATAAGTGGAAAAGAGTAAAAAGAAAAGAAAAAGAAAAGTCCTTGAAGAGTCAGATTTCTTCATTTATGTTTATTTGTCAGAAAAATTGCTCAATAGTGGTTACCATATACTTCATATTCAGACTTACTCCCCATATAATGCTGACACATTGCTCATAATGGCAATTCAGAAAAATGTAGGCATGTGCCACCAATATGTATGGAACTTTCCACACTTTATTTCTTTATAGTAGACATAAGAGCCCCCTAAGAAGACCATGGCCACTCAGGAATGGGAATGGATGCTGTGTGCACAGCAGTCCTCACTGGCTCCTTTCAATTACATCTCCAAAGAAATACCGGTCCAATGATGCCTCCTCTGCTGAAAGGAATACAGATGTTTGGAGAAAGGAGTTCCCTGAACATAGGGGCACTTTCTCGTCTAAGATATATCACTAAATCTGAATCACCAGGTGTTATTTTACATTCTGCTAAATTTCTAATGCACACAAGTTTTGGAAAGGCTTAAGTATAATTAGCTCTGTGCAGAATAAAACTCAATGTTCAACGTTCATATTATTCTTTACATACTCTATATACTCTATACACAATTTGTTTCCAAGAGTAAAAGACTGGTTATACAGTCATCTTTATTCAGAGAACCAAAACAATGAAAAATGGAAAGATTACTATATCGTCTGGACTATCTTCTTGAAAAGACACCTCCTTCTTATAATCCATTTGCTCATGCGTTTGAACATTATGTCCTCTTAGCAGTGATATTACTGGGAATTGGAGCACAGGGAGCTATTTTAAATACAAAAGAATAAACTGTACTGTAGACTTTGTTGAAAACCGGCACTTTTTCCATGGAAGACACTCCGCACGTTTACAACATTTAAGCAACAAATGTTTCACCTGATAGTCAAACTGGTTCACTGGCCCCATTGCAAAGTTATCAGGTGGTGGTCCCCCAAAGTTGTGATTATTCTGGTTAAACATATGTCTGTTTTCAGGGGCAAACTCCCCACTGTCCTGACTATTACTGTCTTCGGATGGAGGAACAATATCCATTGGTCCTGGGGCTGGAGGTATCCATGGCTGATCTGGAGGCGGATGAGGGGGTTGGTGGGGCATGCTCCATTCTGTTTGGATTTAAGAACAACAATATTAACAACATGCTTTTAAATGGTCAGATTTTCTTTGTTTTCTTTCTCAAGACAACCAAATATTAAATATTGGATATAAATCAAGCACAAGGATATCCTATAATAAACTTTGAGATTAATTTTGTGACCAGATGATCACGGGTATTATTGCTTGATTTTCATACATCAAATAATAATATTTACCACAATCTGGTAAGTAGATGTTACATCAAAAAAGGCATGCTCAGAATTAGTTGTGGACTGGGAAAAAGATGACAGGCATTTATCAGTAAGCTTTTATTTAAATATAATATCCTCAAAGCATGTTCTTTCTTTAGCATACCACCTATCAAGATTATTTCTTTAGCAGGAAAGAAGAAAAAACTTCAGTTACTCTCTCCCAGACTGGATACTTCCAACAGCCTCATTTGTACTACAAGGTATACAATCCTACTGCAGCTTGCTGGGGAGAAGAGTCTTTAAGCTACCCCATATCTACTCCCAAAATATGGAATATTACCACTGGGATGGGGGTGAGATGACAAGCTCCCTCTACTGCAGTGATGTTGCTGGGAAAGAAGGTATGAGGCACTGACTTTCCGCACATACTGATTCTCCCATCCCTCTCAGTTGTCACTTGCTTTGCAATGTAAAAGGATGATATAATGCCTTCCTTCACCAGTCTCCTTTACAGAAAGGGTAGCAATTTTTGTGGTGTGACACTCTTGGGAGAACAGACATTACTATTAAGAATGCATTTAGATTGTGTGTTGTTCACCTTGGCACACAGACAGAGTTAGCATTTCAGAACAGAGGGAACACCTGTAGGAAATGTTACTTTTGAATGAAAGAAGGCTTTTCAAATCTTGTTCTATAAGTCTGTAATGCTCTTCAGCCTCAAAAAAAGCATTTGGGGACACTGATGATTGGCTTAGATGCCACCACACATGGCCATCAATCCTTGAAGCAATTTGCTTTAAAGCTCTCTCAAAAGGTATGCAGTAAGTGGCTGGTTGGATTTTTCTTTTCTTTTTAAAGATAAATGAACACACAAACCAATGTACATCTGTCACTTAACCAATTTCCCTTCAAAATCAATATACACGTGACATTTAACAATAATAACAAAATGAATGAAGCATAAAGGAGGGAAAAGAATGATGGCCAAACTAGCAACAAACAACATGCACTCCAGTAACGCACATATCAAAACAGAACTCACAGTAAGGAAAATATTATACTGTTCTTAACCCTTATTTTACTATACAAACCAGAACTTAGTTAACATTTATTATTACAGATAGCAGTATAACCAGCACCTCCATGCCATTTAAGCTAGAACCCTGAAAATACCCATAGGGAAAAAGGTTTTAATTTCCAGATTCTTTCTCCATAAGCGACTGATTATCGCAGCAATCCATAGATCATAATGGCATTCTATAAGGAATGTTGTTCCCATGATAGCCTACACAATATTAGAGGAAATAAATGAGGCAACAATGAGATTTCAGCATTATTCCTGGATGAGGAGGTTTGGATCCAAAAGCAGAAAGTAAGTACCAAACAACAAACCTGGCTGCCACATTCTGTTGAAGTTCGGATCACCCTGGAAGTTACCATGGCTGTTTGGGCCTGGCTCTATTCCTGTTATCTCCTGACCATTTGGCATCATCCCTTGCTGTTCCACCACACCCTGCTGACCCGATGCTTCCCGTTGAGCGATCCATGCTTGAGCTAATGCAGCCCAGTCAATCTGGCCTAGAGTGAAAATTAGATTTCAAGATAGAGAATTCCAAAGCAAGGTTAGGAAGATGCATATTTCAAGGCTATTTAAAAAAGCATTTACTGCACAAACAATACATTACAAATTCTAGCGACAAACCTTGGGGCGGTACTTTGTATCATTAGTCTTATGACAACACAGCAGCACATTTTGATGTTTGCCATTGGTTGGGAGATAAAAACAATTCCTTCTTCCCAAGAAGCACTTGTAAGAAGAGAGAGACCAGCCTAATCCCATCTATTGGCTAAAAGAGCAGCAGCTATAAAGAGCTTGTGTGCTTTTGCCTTAACAGAAAGAACATACAGTAAGTAACGACTCTGAAACTAAAACTAGTGCTTTGGTTTGTTCTCACTCCTTTTGCTGAGCCCCCTTTTTCTTTGTGACCTGTCTTTCACAACATAAGCTTGAGAGTAGCTATTGTCTAGTCACAAGTATTACTGCTCTCTAAACTACTCCGGGAATTTTTTTTCAGCTGAAGTTTGAGGAAAAAAGGCCTTAAGTAACAATTTAATGTATTGCCTACACTTTCATCTGTCACTTTATTGTCTTTCTGAACTGGCTGGACAGCTCAGGGTTCTGGCCGTGGAGCCAGAGGCTGGAAGTTTGATTCCTCACTGTGCTTCTGTTTCACCATGAAACGTGCAACATGTTTAGTTTATATCCTACTTGAAGGGCAAAAAAACCCACACTGTCTTAAATGCTCTTTCAGATGTCGTAAGACACTTTGGACTTTTAAAAAAATTATTCCTGGAGTGTAACATAGATGATCTCTCCTAAAAAGTTGAAGTATTGCTTCGACACACTTCTACATGCCAACTATATTGGGTTTGCTGCAACCACAAATGCTGTTAGTTTACTTGGCATACCCTAATCGAATTGTAGTGGCCATTACAATTCTACTTTTCTTTTTAAAAAAAGAAGTTTATACATACAGTATATTCATGTATTTTAAGAAAAAAGGAAAATTCATTAGCAAAAATAATAAAAACTATGCCACTCCACCTGAATGAGAATTTTATCTAGTGCAGTATTGTTCACCAAGGGCAGACATTAGTGTCCAAAGACTCTAGCAATCCTAGCATTTATTTTTTAAAAATGAAGAGCTCTAGTAAGTTCAAAACAAAATGAGGTTCAGAACTTCTCCAGTCTGTGGCATTAAGGCCCACATTCCTGGCTTGGTCTTTGGGGGCTTAAAAAAACACATCATAGAACTTCCATTATGGCTAATAAGTTTAGAGTAGAGATGGTCATAAACCGCACATGAGCATGGTTGGGCAGATCAGGCCGACAAGTGTTGCACGGGCACTCTGGATTCCCTACTCTGCCTCCTCCTGTGGGCACCCACCACTCAGAGGAGGAACAAGGAATCCCGGTCACCAACACAATATTTGTGGGCCGAATCTGCCAAACCACTATTTGTGCCCATCTCTAGTATATAGGCACATGAAAAACTGAAGAATTTGAACCTCTGCCCTGCTAACTATTATCAGACATGTAGTGCTAAGACAATAGGGAAGCTCTGGTAGGCTTGCATGTACTCCATGTCATAGAAACTTTGGTCACTCCTGATACTGCCATCCAGGGCATACCAATGGCCCTAATAATCTTAATAGGTGGACTTTGCAGAACATGAAGCACATACAGACCCATACTATCTAGGTATTATTAAGAGATGTTTTGTTATACCTTCAATAGAGGTACACTGCAGTAAGTAAATAAATAATCTGGCACCAATTAATGTTTGCTACAGACTTTAGCACTTCCCTTTACAGACCCCGCCTTCCTCAGCAACTAAAGTCATGTTTGAAAATGCCCTACAGTAAAAGATTCCATGCTTTAGAAATTATTAATTTTACATTCCCACTTTTGCAGTGGTTAAACCACTGTACTGCAGCTAAAACTGTGCTCACGACCTGGGGTTCAAATCCCAGGTAGCCAGCTCAAGGTTGACTCAGCCTTCCATCCTTCCGAGGTCGGTAAAATGAGTACCCAGCTAGCTGGGGGGGCAATGTGTAGCCTGTATAATTAAAATTGTAAACCGCCCGGAGAGTGCTTGTAGCGCTATGGGGCAGTATATAAGTCCAAAAAAAAAAAAAAGACCAAATATGTCAAATGTTAAGCAACAGGTTAGTAACAGGACTTGTAATAATAGGACTAATATTTTTAACTCATCACTCTTAACCTTTCTGTATCACAAATGAAAGGATAAGAGGCCAGTGTAATCCCTAACATATGGCTCGCTATACTGGCTTTCACCTTGAAAGCACCATTCCAGCTATTTACTTACTTGGATCTTGCTGGTGCTGAAAGGACTGCATCCACTGCTGTTGATTCAAAGGCCACTGTTGCCAAGGCTGCCCACCTTGATCCCACATCTCTAGTTCTTTATATATTCTATATTTAATTTAAAAAAATCATGTTTGAGTTGAGGCTTCACACGTTTGACTCATACTACTACAGACACTGACATTTAAATCTTTCAAAATCCCCCGGGCTATGTACAAATTACAGTTACCTGAACATTATTTCAAGAAAATTGTGTAGTATTTTTTTACTGTTTCCCATTCTTAGTATCTGGAAACACCAATATACTAAACTATTTCAGTATAATGGCCTGTCACCAGAAAACATACATGTGCCTATTCATTTATAGAGATGTACATATTGAACAGCATGAGAATTTAGAGATCAAAGGGTTGTGATTACTTGAATATCTGTAACTCTCTCTAGCTAAATGCCAAAGATAAGTGAGAAGGCAAGTCAAGGACAAGAAATTTTATGGAAGAAATAAACTGTGGCGTGGATATAACTGGGAAAATTGTCCACCTGAAAGAAATGGCCAAGGAACATATTTTAGTTTAAAGAAGTCCTGGATCACCAAAGCAGCATCCAAAGGGGAAAAATGGATTTAATTACTTCCATGACAGCGAAGTTGTCAATTAAATATTCTCAAAACATACTTCAACTTATTTAGAGAAATAAAAGTAGAATAGAATATATAATTTAAACAGATATTTATTTATTTATTGTATTTATACCCCGCCTATCTGATCAAATGACCACTCTACGCGGCTACCAACATAAATAACCATACTGTATATAAAATATAACAAAGTTTAAACATCAATAAAGAAGTTAAAGATAAACAAGATAAGAAAAACAACCATTTGTATTTAGAACACACCACACCCTAAAAAATAGAAAGCATCAATCAGCTCAAAACATTTCCTACCCTGATTCCAGACAGGCCTGCCACTTTTAAATACTGCTCACTTATGCTTACCTATAACTCTATCTAAAATGGAATCACTTCTTGTCAATGATAGAAAATTCCACGTACTGTACTTTCAAGTCAAATCAGAAGGAAGGACAGAGGCAGAGCACAGTGTTATCGGCAATCTGTGCTCACCCTCATGCTACCATCATTAAGTCATCACCTGGAAGCATCTCAGTGCATGGGCAAGGAAGGCAAAGAGTTGCACAGAATGCAGTCCAGGTCAAGAGTATCAGCATGGGGATTGCCTGTGAGTATCAAAGGAAAGACTATAAAAAGTCAGTGGTGTCTATTTCATAGACAGGTCCACAAAACAGAAGAAAATGAAACTACTGGCTCACATTCAAATGTCATATAAATATAAGTTATACAGCTAACATCTACATTATTCTCAGCTCATAAATTACATGGTTTTGTATTGCTTCTGGAAGATATTCAACTTTTAATGAATCTCAGGAAAGGAATGTTAGATCCAGTAATATTATTTCTTGTTGATAAACAGAAGGTATTATCAAGAAACCACGGAAAGCAGAATGAAAGCAGAGGTGGTAACTGAGTATGAAAGGTTGTCCACAAATAGACCAGACCTTGCTAATTTTGGAAACACTGATTGTATCTTGAAGGCTCTGTTGTTCATCCGAAGATAACATAAAAAACACTATTATCTGAATTACAAAAAAAGATATCTAGACATCATCCTAGCCCAAAAATGTGCAAACGCCAGCTGAATCATGTGCATGTGTACACACACAAATCTTTTTCAATTTACACACCACTAGTTATTGAATTTGGGATAGTAAATGCATCAAATGCAGGTTTCTGAAACAGCACTTCCTCTATTGCAAAATATGTGTGTTGCTCAGCTAGAGGGGAAAAATTACACATACACAATTGCTTCAAAAAGCTTTGAAGAACCTTTTAAAATATTTTTACACTCATAAACACTGACATTACTAGAACTAAGTGTGCCTGTTTTCTTTCAAATTGTATGTATGATAATTCAGGCCAAAAACAAAAGAAAAATGAAAATAAAGAAGACAAAAATATTGTGGCACCTGAAAGACTAAATTTTAATGTAAGCTTTTGCAGAAAAGTCCACTTCTTCAGATAATGAAAACTCACACTGTCCACAAAAGCTCACATTAAAATACAGCTGTTAGTCTTCAAGGTGCTAGTCAAACTGTTAGTCTTCAATGTTTTTGTCTTCTCTATTTTTCTTGTTTTTGACCTGACATGCCAGCACAGAATAACACAGCTATCTCTTCTAAAACTATACAGTACTTAAAGAAATGAATATCCTCATGCTTCAGAAAAAAATATGCTGGCCCATCCTGTGTAAGTCTGTCTAGCCTCTGAGATCACTATCTGAAGCTCTTCTCCAGATGCCTCCATCTCCTAACGCAAGACATCTACCAAACAGTAAAGGCTATATTCTATTTTGGTATAGGCATCTGCTTGTGAAATGCAGTCCCCAGAGCAAGCTCCCCTGATGCCTAATTTCATGATAATTTGGTGGCAGATAAAAACACATATACACCCATACCTTTTAACTCTCTGAATGTGGAGGTGTTTGTGACATCATCATCATGTAAGATCTCTTAAGAATCTTCTCTGATACTGCTTCATAGAAATCAATCAACAAATTTAACAATGACCACTTTTTGAAAACAAAACTTCTTGAAGAGAATATTTTTAAAAATATTTTTAAATCTCCAAATACATGCACAGGAGATCCTGTACTTTTGTACTTTTATAGAAACAGAGGATCTATCTGTAGCAGTTCAAGTTTCTTTAAAAAACTACTGTAGTGAAATTTTTGTACAAGCAGAAAAACAACTCCGAATTTATTTTCACTTGTCTTGAAGACAGCATCCACATGTAAAAAAGCTTCTTCAAATGTTCTTTGACTCCACTGTTTCATAGTTAATCCTGAAGCAGATCAAACAATGAGGCATTTATAAGACAAAATTGATTTTTATATATCATAAGTTTCTCAAAATGGAAAAAAATCTCAACAGAACATGACAAAATGCTGCTTCCTGATGTTGACATCTCCACTGCTAATTTATCCTTGATACACCAATGGTTCCCAACCTTGGTCAATCCAGGTGTTCTTGGACTGCAACTTCCAGAAACCACGGCCAGCACATCTGGTGGTTAAGGCTTCTGGGAAATGTAGCCCAGAAACACATGGGTTACTGAAGGCTGGGAACCACTTTTTAAAGACAATTTCCAGATAAGAGCTGGTTGTCTGAAATGGGACTTAAGAGACATTGTTTTACAGTAGCTCAGTCCTTTCTGGAGGGGAGAACTTATAAGGTGGTGATGGGGGGAGTCCTGTTCAATGCCCTGGCCATTGGCCTGTGGTGTCCTTCAGGGTTGTTTTGTTCCCCATGCTATTTAACATCTCCATAAAACTGCTGGGACAGGTTGTCTGGTATTTTGAGATTCAGTGTCAGCAATATACAGATAACACCCAACTTTTTATTTCCTTTCCATTTAAATCTGAGGAAGCTGTTGTGATTCTTAAATTGGTGTCTTGTATCAGTATGTATGGACTTGTACATACATCAGTCTTGTATGAGAGTGAATAACTGAAACTTAATCCAGATTAGACAGAGGTTCTCCTGGTCATCTGACAGGTAGATCAGAGAATAGGGATTCAACTCATGCTGGATGTTGCTCTGCTCCCACTGAAAACACGAGTGGTCAGCTTAAGTGTGCTCCTGGATTTGTGTCCTGTCTCTGAGCCCAGATGCCCAGCCACAAGAAGTGCATTTGCATAGATAAAACTAGTGTGCCAGCTGTACTTATTCCTTGAGATGTGTGATCTTGCCACGGTAACACATGCCTCCTGTTTGAATAACTGCAATACACTCTACATGGGACTGCCTTTGGAAAGTGTTTGGAAACTTCAGTGATTTCAAAATGCCACAACCAGATTGTTAACTGTAGCAGGTTAAAAGGATCAAAGCTTTAAAGTATTATCCTTTTAATGACGTAAAACTCCTTGAGTCTTTTTTAAGGAGAAAGGTGGGGTAATTAAAAATAATAATAAAATAAACTCCCCTGTTACAACAGTTCCACTAGTTACTAGTTTGCTTCTGGGCACAATTCAAAGTACTGGTTTTGACTTATAAAGGCCCTAAATGACTTGGATCTGAGCTATTTCAAAGAGTGCATTTCCCTTCTGAGCCTTTTGTGCTAAAGGAGACCTAACAAATCAACAGGAAGTTAGTGAGTCAACTTCTCTGTATCTTTCATTGATTAAAATGGGCCTGCTCTAATCACAACTTACTATGTTGAAGTTAAGTTGCATGGAAGAATTGACTTTAGTGGATTCAAAATTCTGCAGTCATATTGTCAATTGGGGATAGCTACAAGGATCACACAATCCCCATGCCTAGTTAGCTTGCTGATCAGAATATCATGGGGCACTCTGTCAAAATCTTTGCTGAGGTCAAGATATATTGTGTCTACAACATTCCTACTGTCCACCATGAAATTATCCGATCAAAAAATTAGATGATTAGTCTAGCAGGATTTGTTTCTAACAAATTCATGTTGGTTTGTTGTTATTTCTGCATTGTTTTCAAGGTGCTTGCGGAGCGACTGCTTTATAATCTGCTCCAGAATTTTCACTGGGATTGATGTCAGGATGACCAGTCTGTAGGTCCCTGGTTCCTCCCTTTTGCCCTTTTTCAAGATCGGGACAATGTTAGCTCTCCCCCAGTCATATGATATTTTGCCCATTCTCCATGATTTCTAGAAAATAATACACAATGGTTCCAAAATCGCTTCAGCCAGTTCCTTATTATTCTTGGATGCAGTTTATTCAGACTTAGGATCTGAACTCATTCAAAATAATAAAATATTCCTTGACTTTTAGTTCATCATTCTCAAGCTGCAATACTGTTACCTCTCTTTGTATTTCACATATGCCTGGAGGGTCACAGACTCTTTTGGGAAAAGAGGGAGCTGAAGTAGGAATTTTGCATTTCTGCCTTTTCTTTGTTGTCTGTTATCATTTTTCCATCTCCACTGAGTAGCCAAACCACTGTTTCTTTTCTCTGCCTTTTGCTTGCACGTATCTGAAGAATGCTCTCCTTTTTTCCTTTTAGCATCTCTTGTTAAACTCATATCATTCTCAGCCTTTGCCTTCATAAAGCCATCCCTGCAATTATCTGCTACCCATCTGTACTTTTTCTTTCTGTCCTGACCTTTCAACTTCCTGTATGTGTCCTTTTAAATTTTCCGGTAATCTCTAAGCTTTCTGTGAAGCCACATGAGTCTTTTTGTTGTAGTTGTTGTCTTCCACCTTTTTTTCTTCTGAAATTGTTTGTAGTCTTGCCAAAGAGACAACAGACTGGTTTGAAGCCCATTCCGAGGAGTTGATGCCAGCCATTGAGGAAAAAAGGAGAGCTCTAGCAGCATACAAAGCCTGTCCTAGTGAGTACAACTTGCAGGTTCTTCGGGTTGCTTGTAGCAAAGTCCAACAGACTGCCAGGAGATATTCTAATGATTATTGGCTTCAGCTCTGCTCTCCGATACAGATAGCAGCAGACACAGGTAACATCAAGGGAATGTATGACAGTATCAAGCAGGCTTTAGGTCCAATACAAAAATCTGCTCCTTTGAAGACTGCTACAGGTGTGATCATCCAGGACTGAGCCCGGCAGATGGAACACTGGGTGCAGCACTACTCTGAGCTATATTCTAGAGAGAATGTAGTACCCGAAGAGGCATTAAATAACATCAAGTGCCTGGCTGTCTTGGAAGAGTTGGACAACGAACCAATTTTAGCAGAAATAAAAGTGGCCTTGGATTCCCTTGCCTCTGGCAAGGCACCTGGGAAGTATATCCCTGTTGAAGTACTGTAAAGAGATCATCACCACCGAACTGTATGAAATATTTTGTTTTTGCCGGAGGGGAGTACCACAAGACATGAAGGATGCAAACTTTGTCACACTGTACAAGAACAAAGGCGACAGGAGTGATTGCAATAATGACCATGGCATCTCTCTTCTCAGCATTGTAGGGAAGCTGCTTGCCCGTGTTGTGCTGAAGAGGCTCCAGGTGCCTGCAGACAGAGTCTATCCAGAATCACAATGTGGATTTTGTGCTACTAGATCTACTATTGACACAGTATTTTCCCTCAGACAGTTGCAGGAGAAATGCAGGGAACAACGACAGCCATTCCTTGTGGCCTTCATAGATCTCACAAAGGCCTTTGATTTGGTCAGCAGGGACAGCCTTTTTAAAATACTTCCCAAGATTGATGTCCACCTTGATTCCTTAACATCATCAGATCCTTTCATGAGGAAATGAAGGGCACTGTAGTTTTGATGGCTCAACATCAGATCCCTTTGACATCTGAATTGGAGTGAAACAGGGCTGTGTCCTTTGTACAGATTAGGACAATCCCCATACAGTGGTGCCTTGCTTAGCGATCGCTCCGTTTTACAGCAAAATCGCTTAGCGATGGACTTTTTGCCATCGCCAGAGCAATCGCTTAGTGATGGCCCCTATGGGTAAAAATCACTTTGCGATGATCGCAGGGACGCGATCATGGCAAAGCACCCATTTTTAACAGCTGATTGGCGGATTAAACGCATTAAACGCATTTTAATGTGTTCCTATGGGCTTTTAAAAATCACTTAGTGATTAAATCGTTTAGCGACTTTTTTCCTGCACGGATTAACGTCACTAAACAAGGCACCACTGTATTTTTAAAAGGCATCCTGACTTGTTCTATTAACTATTTCTGATTTTCTGTTCAAAATTACTTGGGTAGGGGATGCAAACAAACTGAAAAAAATGGAAAAACAGGGCAGGAGCTTAATGGCTTCAGATGATTGGTAGATGAAACCTTTCCAACATCTCTTTATGGGCTTCACAAACTCTCTGATGTGGCAATTTCTTTTTCTCAATGTGTCATAGACCCATATAGGGTTGCCAACCTGCTTTCTGGAGTGGGGGACATTACCACTTTTATTAAGTTTCCAATCTCCCTCTCTGAAGGAAAAGGTTGGCTGCCTTCATCACATCATCAGGAAATTTGCTGGTTCTGATACCAAATCTTTGAGAAGTATGGGAAACCCATCCCCAAACATTCTCCACTTTGCAAAGCACTGCTGTATGGCACTATGGCCAGCAGGAATTGCACCTGGAAAAGAAAAAAAAAGGGTGTGGGGGAGAGGCTGGTCAAAGGAAAAGTAAATTGAATTAAGGAAGGTGGCTGAGGGGGTGGCTAAACTTTATAAGGGAAAAAAACAGTACAGTGGTGCCTCGCTTGACAACATTAATCCGTTCCAGCGAAATCGCTGTAGAGCAAAATTGTCGTCAAGCGGGGGGAACGCACTGAAAACTGCTCAATGCGTTCCAATGGGCTAAATACCGAATCGTCCAGCGAAGATCCTCCATAGGGCAGCCATTTTCCAGTGCCTGTACAGCGAAAAATCCGTCCTAATCACAGCGGGGAGCCATTTTGCACAGTGGGCAGCCATTTTGAAACTCAATGATCTGCTTTTTTAGATCGTCGTAATGCGAAGAATCGGTTCCCGAAGCAGGGAACCAATCATCGTCAAACGAAAATCGCCCATTGAAACATCATTTTGCGATCACAAAAGCGATCGCAAAAACCTCATCGTCATGTGGATTTGTCATTTAACAAGGTAATAGTTAAGCAAGGCACCACTGTAAACTGTACCAAGCTATGCAACAACACCACTCAGCGTATCACCAGGGCATGTGAAACGGCTTGGCAGGGTAAGTTAAAGGGAATATTTCAAATTCAGTCCAATTTTGTAAACTAAACTGAGCAATGAAGAAAGAAGAAGAGGCTATTTTAAAATATACAGACAAGTTGAGGACCTCAACCTCTCCTTAATGTTTCTGCGTCTGGACTGCTCAGGAAACTCTTGGAATTTACTGATACTTTCAGCTTTCAAGTCTTCTACTCTGGTGTCAGGAACGCAAGTGGACCAACAGTTTTAATTCAGTTTCCCCTTCCCTCATTTCAAACTGATGGGGACCACCTTTTTAAACCAGTACTTGCCAACTATGGGTCCCCAGATGTTCTTAGACTAAAACTCCCAGAAATCCTGGCCAGCATAACCAGTGGTAAAAGCTTCTGGGAGTTTTAGTCCAGGACATCTGGAGATCCAAGGTTGGGAACCAGTGTTTTAAACTCAGGAATACAGAACAGAATAGAGAAGACCCATTAGGGTTTTGCTGTGCTTCAAAAGCTGTTTGCTCTGCTCTGTAGTCACTGAAATACTCCAACCAATGCTTATACATCCCAGGTTTCTGCTGTATTTTCTTAAAATGACTATCTACAATATATCAGCAATTCCTACCAACTGTTCTGCAATAAAGTATATCACACTGATATTACAGAAGAATGAGAAAAGAGGGAGACGGCTATTCTTTAACAACTATTAATCATGACAAACAACTGGGAGACGTGTATAATGCTGGGAATCATGTTTTAGTACTACAGTAAGTAAAGTAACTGTTTGTGAAAACCAAACAAAAGAAAACTACATGGTTCTCAAGGTCATCCATATAAACCCAACATGATACAGGAAAGTCTGTCTACCTGGTATAATGTTGGGTTAGCACTTGCTAGTTGTCATGTGGTATCATCAAGTTGGAACTGATTTACAGCAACCTTAATAGGGTTTTCAAGGCGAGTGAGTTATTTGAGGAGTGGTTCTATCATGAAAAGGATTGCCATAAATCAGAGCTGACATGACAGCATAGGATTATGATTATTATTTTAGCAGCTCCAGGCTCGTTGGCTAACTCATTGGTTTAGGTTTCTGGATGCAGTCAGAGGTTGGAAGTTCAGTTCCCCAATGTGCCCTGGAGAAGAACCAACCTGTAGAGTCCTAGGACCCTTTTGGAATGAAATGGTAAATTACTTCTGAGTATTCTCTACCTATAAAACCCTGAAAAGGGTCACCATAAGTCAAAATTGACTTGACATTATGTTAGTTACAAGTTTCACTCCTCAATGAGTTTCCATGGTAGAGGTGGGGAATTGAATCCAGGTCTCCTGTCCTAGTCTATAATTTTATCCTCTACATTGCACTGGTACATGCAGCATCACTTAATAGGCTGTTAACTGGATAAAATATTGCCATGCTTTATTTAAAGTGCAGCATCAATGTACACAGGACTTCATAAATCTCGCAAAAGCTAATGGGTGTATGAAACATAGCCCTTAAGATTAGTGAAAAGATTGGAGGCAATTTAAAGATTTCAACCAACCCACATGAAAGCTCCCACCCCCTACACATTTCTTACATTCTATCAGGTACTAACAAGGTTAAGTTCTGGAAAGCAAAATGAAACAGGGCACACCACTGAGCAAATTAGCTTGCATGCTCATTCAAGCTACAAATATCTTTTTTTAAAAAAAAAAATCTCACTTTTTTTCATTTTGAAACTTCAGATGACATGCCACCAGGTTCACACACAGTTGTGCTACTCATGCACTAATACATCACATGCCCTTTTATTAAGCTAGGCCCAAGTTGATGTAAGCACTTTCTATCACACATCAACATAGAGACTGAGTGAGCAACATAAATGTCTACTCTGACTTCTTGCAGCAATTCAGTGCTGAAAGTTACACTTCTAGCATTATGTTGATGTGAACAGACCATAGGATTCCAACCACTGTATCTCTCTAGCCTACTTCAATCAACTACTAGAAGACCAATGATTGCCAGGTTGAAATAAAGCTCATTTATTAATCTAATCAAGATGTATCTGTATCAGTTTGTGGGCTAAGAGTAAGAGAAATAGTAGTAAGAATGGGCTATGAGTAAGAGGAACAGTAAAAACAAGGACAAAAACAAACACCAAAAAATTATACCATATATTTTGTTAAATATTTACCTGAGAGATAAGCACAAAAGTGACAAACTACAACAGAAACATTAATATGGTTGGGATATCTCTGGGATAAGAAAGAATTAATTATATGACAAGTGCTTACACTAAGCGGTTCTCGCCACATGAAGCCAAAAAAGGTTACTAGCCATCAAAAATTATAACAAGCCTATCCGTGTATGCACACATGCACCCTTTAGTTATCCACAGCCTCTGAGGAGAAAGAATCAAATCACAGGTAATTAGGCATGCATTTTAATGCAAGTTTGGAAGCACAAGCTACAACCAAAAGGTATCACCTAACCAAAACAACGTACCAGTAACACACAAGAATGAATCAGTGTCACTTTCTTGACAGATGAGATGAACTGTGATGCTTTTATAAAATTAGGTATCAAGCTTTTTATTAATGTGGTTATTTCCTCACGTATATTTTAAAACGCTATAAGCAGCAATAGCAACCTTGCCAAGCTGCTCACAGGCAGCCTGCAGTGCTCCATCTGGAAATTAAAACCTACAGGAACATAAGGGCAATCCTGTCAAAACATACCACAGCTCTATTTAAGCTTCCTACAATGTCCTGCAATCCGCTTTTTTAAGGAAGTCTGCATCCTGAAGACCCGGATAGGAGTTCAATGGTATTACCTAGCTGATTAAGAATGTTTTGCTGTGTCTGTATGTTTGCCTGGATTAAGTCACATTAGACTGAGGGGAACTTCATAAACATGCCTAGGGCCAAGGTTCAAAAATAGCAGAGTACACATAAATTGCTACAAGAAACTTTTTAATTTCGATGCAGAAATAAAACCACAGCTGCTTAACCACGGAAGAGATCATCAAGACCCCCATACTTTTTAAGAAACGCTTTCTTCACTCATCCCCATAGCGCATGTATGAGTAACTCCACACAGGCGCCCGTCGACGTTTGAAACCCAACGGGCCTAATAGACTCCCTTCCCTTCGTCTCGTCTGGCGCCAGAACCAGCCGCACGAGCCGCCTCCGCTGTCACTCGAGGAGTTCCATCCACCCCACCTGGAGGGACCACTGACGCATGCGCAGCTTAGGTGCCTAACGGGCCCAGTTTCAATCCGCCTCTTCGCCACTCCAGATAAGACAACAGCGCATGCGCAAAACGGGGTTTCGGGGGATTTAGAGGGGCAGGGCTCGCCCGTTGGACTTAAAGAGCAGTCCAAACGCGCCCGTCGGAAACTATCAGACATCTGTTGAGAAGCATGGTGGGTGGGTAAAAAAGAAGGAGCTTGCTCCTGCATATTTTTTATCCGGGCCCACAGTGGCGGCCCCTCCCCCCTCCCTCGCCGACACCAGCGCCGGCTGCACGGACGAGGGCGGCGAGCCCTCAAAGCGACGGGAAAGGCGATCCAGTTCTAGGCCGGCCTCTGCCTCTTCAATACGGAATCCACTGCGCGGGCTGCTACTCACCCCCACCCGCTTCTTCTTTGCCTCCCGGTACCACTGGTAGCTTTTCGGTGGCCTCCGTCTTCCCGGCTGGTTTTTCCGCGAGCCACACAAAATGGCGCCTGTTGGCGGTCACCCGGAACCACAATTGCGTCACCGAGATCGGGCGAGGAGAGACGCCTTTTCCGTGGATTCCGTCCGCCATCTTTGTTAGGGGCAAGCCCCTCCCCCCCCTGGACCTAGGTGCCCAACGGAGAGGCGGACACTTGCCAGATGTGGGGCTTCCCTGGTTCTTTTGTCCTGGTCGGTAGGGCTGGTGGGGGTGGTTGGTAATCGAGACTATCTAGGGAGTTTGCGTACTCTTCACCTAGGAACAAAGGGTTAAAAAACTTCAAATAAAGCAACTTACGTCAGCGGGGCAAGACGTACTTGGTAACAAAACGTACAGGCTCTCTATTTGCCTGTGGGGACGGAAACACTGTGTGACTGCTGGTTTTATTACAATCCTTTCTTTTCGCACTGATTTGGCATCCATATTTGTTTAGGGGTTCGCATTAAGGAGTGCCATTTTTAGAAAGGGCTTCGCTCTCTTCTAAGTTCTGTTGCGTTCCGTGGCGGTTGCACGATCGGATTAATCAATGGGCGGTGCAACCGCTGTTCGAATTAGTTCCACCAGGAGGAGGCGAGGCTGGTTCGGGGGCATAGACTGCATCTATGTAATTCTATACATAAAAAGCCACATACCAGCTGGGATCAGTGGATTAATTCCCTAAAACATAATCGTAAATGTTATTTTGAAATAACATTTACGTATTTTAAAACTAAGATCATGGCCACTGGTCTCATCACCTCCAGGCAAATAGAAGGGGAAGATATGGAGGCAGTGACAGATTGGGCTCCATGATCACTGCAGATGGTGACAGCAGCCACAAAATTAAAAGACGGCTGCTTCTGGGGAGGAGAGCGATGACAAACCTAGACAACATCTTAAAAAGCAGAGACGTCACCTTGCTGACAAAGGTCCACATACTCAAAGTTACGGTTTTTCCAGTAGCTATGTATGGAAGCGAGAGCTGGACCATAAAGAAAGCTGACTGCCGAAGAATTGATGCTTTTGAATCTGTGGTGCTGGAGGAGACTCTTGAGAGTCCCCTGGACTGCAAGGAGAACAAACCTATTAAATCTGAAGGAAATCAACCCTGAGAAGCTGTGGCTCCAATACTTTGGCCATCTGATGAGAAGAGAACACTCCCTGGAAAAGACCCTGATGTTGGGAAAGTGTGAAGGCAAGAGGAGAAGGGGATGACAGAGGACGAGATGGCTAGACAGTGTCATCAGAGCTACCAACATTAATTTGTCCAAACTCCAGGAGGCAGTGGAACACAGGAGGGCTTTACGTGCTCTGGTCCATGGGGTCATGAAGAGTCGGACATGACTTAATGACTAAACAACAACATGTTATTTTGTGAGTAGTTGACAGTCACTTCAAAATTTTTGAACTTGGCACAACACCAAAGTTTTTTTTCTTTTTTCTTTTGTTATTATTTAAGTATTTATTTAAGAACAGGGTAGGGAATACAAAAAGTAGGGGGGAAGAGGGAAAAAAAGGGGTTAGGGGGATAGGAGAACACAGAGTATACCATCATCCAATCAATTCATATTACAATAACAGATCAACTTTTTGCTTTTTCACAGTTTGATT